GCCACCCACTGCCTGCAGGAGGTGTGCGGCTCTAGCATGCAGTTCTGCGCCCACCCAGAACCCTGGAGCAGGGATCTACTCTGCCGCCCGTGGGGTGTGTGGCTTTAGCAAGCAGTTCTGGGTCCTCCCAGAGTGGGGGACTCGTCAGCCGCCACCCAAAGGGGTGCGCAAGGCTCTAGCAAGTACTTCTGTGGCTGCTGGAGCAGGGGAACTCTTCTCCGGCCACCCGCCACCCGCAGGAGGCTTGCGGCTCTAGCATGCAGTTCTGGACCTGCCCAGAGCCCTGGAGCCAGGGTCTCCTCTGCTGGCCGCGGGGTGCGCAGCTCTAGCAAGCAGTTCTGGGTCCTCCCAGAGTGGGGGACTCATCCGCTGCCACCCATGGGGGTGCAGAAGGCTCTACCAAGTTGTTCTGTGCCTTCCCGGCACAGGGGACTTCTCTGTGGCCACCCGCCACCTGCGGGAGGTGGGCAGCTCTAGCAAGCAGTTCTGGGGCCCACTTTGTACCTGTATTTTGTGTTCTTAAATGATCTTCTTTGGATTTACAGCTTCCCGAACTTCTTTCTGGGCTCAGCTCCCAGTCTTTGGCTTCATATATTCTGATTCCAACCAGTTTTTCTTTCTTTGCTCAGGAGCCTCTGACCAGGGTTGCTACCAATCGGCCATCTTCCCAGAATTCCCCAGACCAAATTTTTAATTAAGAACCCCCCCCACCATCAATGGTGTCCCGCTTCACCAATGTTAAAATCTGGTCAACTTAAACCAGGGGACTGCTGCTCCTCCCGCTGAGTGTCCCTTTCTCCCCACACCCTCTTTCTTCCCTGTTAGTCTCAGATTCCATCCTGATGGTTGGCAGTCCACACTATGCCCAGGTCTCTCAGGACAAGACCAAACACTCTATGCTCTGTAGGGGACAGAACTTCAGACCGCCATGTTAGGGGGAAGGGTGGACTGGGAGTTTGGACTTCTGGGGAAAAATATCTGTTCAATTTTATGCCTCATGGGGTGGTCTCTAGGTTCATAAGTGGGACCTCCCTGGAGAAAGCAACCTGGAGTTTAGAGGCTCTCTCCAGTGAGGTAAAATGAGAGTTCTTTTGTTCCCTGCTCCTTCGCAGATAGCCTGTGGCAGGTCTCCTGCTTGGGAGAGGGGTCTCCTGTCCTCTAGTCAATAGGCTTTGTACCTGTAATTTCTTTTCTTGATGCTCTTCCATGGAGTTACAGCTTGTTGAACTTCTTTCTCAGCTCAGCTCCCCATCTTTGGCTTTGTAGAGTCTGATTCCATCCAGTTTTTCTTCCTCTGCTCAAGAGCTTCTGACAAGGGTTGCTACCAGTCAGCCATCTTCCCAGAATTCCTCCCTGAATCTTTTTTCATCCAACATTTCATTTTGGAAATTTTCAAACATGCAGAGAAGTTGAAAGAATGTTACCACAAATGCCCATACACCCATCACCTAAATCAGCGGTTCTCAACCTGTGGGTCGTGACCCCTTTGGACTATATTAAAGAGTTGCAGCATTAGGAAGGCTGAGAACCACTGATCTAATTCTACATTGATATTTTATTATATTTGCTTTGTCATGTATCAGTCCATCCCTCTATCAGCCATCAGTCTAAAATGGGTTTAAAATTAAATCTTAATTTATAAAAGCCTGCCTCCACAGAATTATTCAGCACCCGCATATATCAGGAATTGGGTCAGTCACTAGGGGCCAATCACAGCTGCCCTTGCCAGACAGTGTATCTTGTTCTCTATCTCTGGGGCCTGTGGCCAGGGGATTGGGACAGAGCCCACTCCAAGCTTCTGGGTGCCACAGCCTGCATGGGTCCTGCAGAGACCTCTTAGGGCCTCAAGGACACACTACCTCTGCCAGGGTGGTAGGCACTGTCCTCTATAAACACACTTGTGGACCCTTCTGGCCATTCAAGGAAGTTAGAGTTGCTACTCCTTGGGCTTCATGGGGACACAGACACCTCTGAGAGAGTGTCACCCCCAAAGCCTGTCCCAGACTCTAGTGCACAGTGGCCATCCCAGCTGCTCGTCCCCTGTGCATTCCCATTTATCAGGGAAATGTAAACGTCACTAGATGCTAGCCTGTGTCACGCCCACTGCAGGAGAAGGAACAGTGGCAAGACAGAGACCCAGGCCCACAGGTTTGATTTTAGACCAGTGTTGTCCCAGAAGATTGTACCACCCAGCCACTTCCCTTTTGACAAGTACCAAAGACAAAGCTGGGTGCTCTTGTTGGCCTGGCTATCTCCTCCATGCCAGGCCCCTGCCCAAGCCCAGTGTCGCTTTTCTGATGCTTTTGTGCCCTGTAGCTCCCTTAGGGCTTACAGCTCATCGGTGTCTCCCCACTGTGTGCAGAGCAAGGTCCAAAACACCCCCAGGGCCTGGCCCCATGTGTCTTTGTGCCCCAGTCCTTGTCTCTCTCCCCAAACCAGGCTCTCTCTTGCATCCAAGTTTTTTCAGTCTCCCCCATTTTACCACCTGGCAAATCCTTGTCGCCTGAAGTCCCAACTTGTTGCTGCTTCTTTCATAAAAGCAGATCCAGTTGAGGAAGCGCCGTGGTTCCTTGGCTGAACTGGTGCCCCATGCCAGTGAGCATCTAGTTAGCACAGCCCTGTCTGTGCGGAGTGGTTCATGCGTCTCTTTTCCCAGCTGTACAAAGGCAGCGAGCACCAGGCCCAGCTGAACCAGTCCACAGGAGAGCTTCACAGAAGGAACTGTGGATCTGGTCACATGCACAGGGAATAGCAGGGAGCCCCGAGACTGGAAGCGGAGAGCGCCTGGGGCAGACGTGTTGGGAGTGGTGCCTGTCCAAGGTCAGCTGAGTGGGCCCAGGAGAGGCTGCACTCCATAAACTCTCTGGCTTACAGAGAGAACGTGCATGAATGAAGCCTGTTCATTGGTTTCCCTCACCTAAAACATGCTTACGACCCCCAATATCATTCCAGAAGGAAAGCAGGAAGCATTGCACTAATATCTGATCTAAAGTGCACAGGCACCCCTCCCGCTGGCCACCTTACACACTCCTCACAGCATCCAGGAGGGGGCAGAACGTGTACTTGAGGGATCAGAAGCTGCCCTAGGTCCAGGATGTTGGTGGGGCTGGAGTTGGCACTCTCTCCTCCCTCACACTGTGTGCAGGGCTCCTGCCTGAGCTGGGGCTGCTGAGCTGTGCATGGCACTCTGGGAGGAACTCTCTGCCCCCACCCTCAGGGCTCAGAAGTCACATGCACACACACACACACACAGAGGCATGGCCCGCCCTGACACTTAGAAGCTGTTCCCAGGACAACAGTCAACATAGTCAGAGTTCAAAACACAGCTGTCCTCAAATGCTCTGCTCAGCCTGTAAGGCCCCCTCACCATCGGCCACTCTGAGCTGGGCTCAGGGAGATGGTGAAGAGGACCACTGCCCAGGCTATCCAGGGTTTGTCCTCAGAGGTCAAGCACAGAGGCAGGAGCAGCTCTCCAGTGCACCCTCTCTGCCACACACAAATACTTGCACCCATGGGGAGCCGCCCCACCCCTGAGCTCCAGAGAACCACATCAGCTGGGTACCGACTGCCCCCTACCAGGCCACCAGCCTCAGGATCTGCACCTTCCCGAGGTGGCCCTATGGTGGGCAGGAGTCTTGCTGGTGGCTGCCCGGCACCCCGGGCCCCAAAGGCAAACAAGGGGCAGTGGGTGGCACAGAAGGCCGAGGGCACGCAGCAGGACCAGCTGTGGAGGGAGCTCCTGGAGGCCGAGCGGCGGGGCCTGCAGCGCTGGTGAGTCACTGCTCTGCTACCCTGGGAGCTCAGTTCTGGGCCAGACCTCCAGGGTCCCTGCCCCTTCTCCCTGCCCCCCTCAGCCTGACTGCAGATTTAGGAAGTTTATGGAGAAAGAGATATGGTGGGGAAATGATCCAGGCCAAGGGATGGAGAGTGCGTGGGGTGGGGGTGTGGGAGAAAGAAGGGGGCAGGGTGGATGACCTGGGCCACAGCAGCCCACCTTGCTCATTCCAGCTGCCAGAGGGGCCGGCAGGGAGGGGAGCCCCTCTCGGTTTGGAGCAGTGATGCTGACCACCTGTCCTTAGGGAAGGATGCTCCCTCATGCACTCACTCAGTCAAAAACTGCCTAGGATGGACACCCCAATTACCCAGATTTGATCATTACACACTGCGTGCTTTTACCAAAATATCACTCCATATATGTGTTCAAAAATTAAATATCCATAATAATTTAAAAAATGTTTTAAATACCCACAAGCCACTTGGTAAGGCTACAGTGGGGGACAAGACAGACCTGGCCATGTCTCCGTGGAGCCTTCACTCCCAGGACAGGGCAGCCAAAAAGCATGCAGAGGAGTAATTAAGTACAAAGTGTGCCAAGTGTTATGCCCGGAACAGTCTGAGGGGAGTGGGCCCTCTCTCAGAAGGCCCCTTCCAGGAAGCAACATTTAAGCTGAGACCTGAAAGATAAAACGGGGCCAAGAAAGAATTCTGTGCACTTAACAAACAAAACACAGAGTGTCCGTGTGGCTGAGGCACAGCTGGCCAGCACGGGGAGAGCCACCGACGCTCTCGTAAAGTTCAGAGGAGCACCAAGAGTTTAGGCACAAGCGTGACATGGTCTAGGTCACATCTGAAAATGACCAGTGTAGTCGACCTCTCGAGCTTATTCATCTTGCTTAATAGAAACTTCATATACGGTTGAGTAGTGACTGCCCGTTTCCCCCTTTCCCCAGCCCCTGTCAGCCACGTTCCAGTCTTTGCTTCCATGATGAGTCTACTTCGGGTTCCTCGTGTCAGGGGGAGCATGCAGTATTTGCCTCTCCGGAGGGATCCGGCTTATTTGACTTAGCATAATGTCCTCCAGGTCCATTCATTTTTAGCATATTGCAGAATTTCCTTCCTTCTTAAGGCCGGGTGATATTGCATTGTTCATCCTTTCATCCTTGTTCATCCATTCATTTGCAGATATTTAAGTTGCTTCCACATTTGGGCTATTAGAAATAGTGCTAGATTGAAAATGGGAGTGCGGAAATCTCTGTGAGATCCTGATAGCAACTCTTCCGGACAAATACTCAGGTGGGATTGCTGAATTACACGGTAGCTCCGCTTTTACTTTTTGAGGAACCTCCGTGCTGTTTCCCACAGCAGCTGCACCAGTTTCCATTCCCATCACGAGTGTACAAGGGGCCCAGTTTCCCCACACCCCTGCCAGCACTCACTGGTTGTCTTTGGTTTTATTCTGTTTTATAATAAAACCATTCTAATAGGTGTGAGGTGATATCTCACTGTAGTTTCGATTTGTGTTTCCCTGATGATAAGGGGCATTGAGCATCTTTCCCTGTACCTGCTGGCCATGTACATGTCTTCTTTGGAGAAATGTCCCTTCAATTCTTTTACTCATTTTTTCAATTGGGTTATTTGGTTTTATGCTATGAAGTTATAAGAGTTTCTTACATATTTTGGCAATTAACACTGATCGCTTATATGGTTTACAAATATTTTCCCTCATTCTCTAAGTTGCCTCATCACCAGTTTTTCCTTAGCTCTGTAGAAGTTCTTAGTTTAATACAATCCCATTCGTCAAATTTTGCATTTGGTGCCATATTCATGAAATCGTTGGCAAAACCAATGGCATGAAGCTTTCTCCTCTGTTTTTGAATTGATTTTTGTGTATGTTGTAAGACAAGGGTCCAATTCCAATCTTCTGCATGTGAAAAGCAGAAAAGACAACCTGTAGGATGGTAGAAAGCCCCGGTAGACCATGAAGGTGTGGGAGGAAAGGTGAGGAAGGAGTGAAGGGTGACATTGGTCTCCAGCCTGTGTAATCAATGGGGAGGAAAAGATAGATGGTGAAGGTGCTGAGGGCTGGTGAGTTGTAAATGCCGTAACCACGTGCAAATGGAGATGGCCAGGAAGTAGCTGAATGTGAGAGTCAGGGGTTTACTCTGAAGGCCTGTACAGAGAGTAGATTTGGGGTTCCCAGAAGTCAAGGGAAGGTAAAGTGGGGACTGATTGCTAAATGAATACAAGGGGACTTTGGGGAGAGGAGTGATGAGAATGTTCTGGAATCAGATAATGATGATGGTTGCACAACCCCACGAATATACTAAAAGCCACTGCATTGTACACTTTAAAAGGTAAATCTTATAGATGGGCATTATTTCTCAATTTAAAAAAGAAAAAAGTAGGCATTGACTCCAGCAAAATGAACGAGCTTTCCCTGGAAGAATATGATGGGTTAGAAGAGGTGAGAACGCAAGACAAAACTGGCAACTTTTACAGAAATGCAGCCAAGAGATGCCAGAGAAGAGAGCCGGGTTGGAAAGATGCACAAAGACCAAGAGGAAGAAGTTTTGCAAGGCCGGGAAAGCCTTGGGAGTGATGTGGAAGGCAGCGCTGCCCAACAGACATACTACGTGAGTCATGGACAGAATTTTAATTTTCTAATGCCCACCTTAAAAAAATATAAGAAGAGGGTGGCGCCTGTGACCCAAAGGAGTAGGGCGCCGGCCCCATATGCCAGAGGTGGTGAGTTCAAACCCAGCCCTGGCCAAAAATATATATATTTATATTTAATATTATATTTAATATAATTATTAAATTTAATAATAATTTTATAATATTATATTTAATAATAATTTTATAATAATATTGCATTTAATATATTTAATATTATATTAATATAAAATATATATTTTATAAATATATATATACATACATATATATATATGTAAACAAGAATCTGCTGAACTTTGTTTTAATAATAGATTTTATTTAGCCCTATATATCTTGTTCAGTTTTTCAGGGGTTTCATCTTACATTTTTCTCTGTACCAATTAAAGACCTGGAAAACTGAACAAGAAGGTCCAACATACCTGTAAATACAACTCCCCAAAGAGACAATGGAGAGATAAAATATTTGAAGAGAAAATGTATGAAAATTTTCTTTAACCAAAGAAATACATGGATCCACAAATACTGGAGGATGTGCTCCACAGAAACAGGAGCATAAACAAGAAAGGAAGACGTGAAATTCCAAAGGAATCCCAGCATGATGGTGAAGGAAGGAACCAGTTCTGTGGTCTCTGGCACAGCCAGGCTGGTGGGAACAAGAGGCTGGGGGCTTCTGAGGGACGTATCTAGAGAGAAACTGTTGAAGTGATAAAGTGATATTTGATTGTATAGAAAATAACACTGAGAGGTTTTATAATTTTATTAGAGCGTTTAGAATCAATGATCAGTACACAGAAACCCAAAAAAATTGGGGGGAAATATAATTATTAGCTCTAGAAAATATACTAAGTTGAGCCTAATGTAGTGACTCATGCCTATAATCCCAGCACTCTGGGAGGCTGAGGCGGGAGGATCACTTGAGCTTAGCAATTTGAGACCAGCCTGAGCAAGAGCAGGATCCTGTCTCTGTTAAAAATGGAAAAGCTGGGCAGTGCCTGTGGTTCAGTGAGTTGGGTGCCGGCCCCATATACTGAGGGTGGCGGGTTCAAGCCCAGCCCTGGCCAAACTGCAACAAAAAAATAGCCAGGTATTGTGGTGAGTGCCTGTGGTCCCAGCTACTCGGGAGACTGAGGCAAGGGAATCACCTAAGCCCAAGAGCTGGAGGTTGCTGTGAGCTGCCAACTTCAGCACTCTACCAAGGTCAGCACTCTACCAAGGGCAACAAAGTGAGACCCTATCTCAAAAAAAAAAAAAAAAATGGAAAAGCTAGCCAGCCAGTGTCATGTTGGGTACCTGTAGTCCCAGCTACTTGGGAGGCTGAGGCAAGAGGATCACTTGAGCCCAAGAGTTTGAAGTTGCTGTGAACTGTGAGGCCATGGTACTCTACCCATGGTGACAAAGTGAGACTGTGTCAAAAAAGAAGGAAAGGAGGGAGGGAAGGAAGGAAGGAAAAGTGGAAGGGGAGGGGAGGGAAGGGAAGGAAGGGAAAAAGAGAGAAAGAGAGAAAAAGAAAGAAAAATAAAATACACTAAGTTATATAAGGAAGGAACTGGAAGCATATTGTACTCCTCAGTTCATGAGTGAGTATCAATTTAACCAAGATCTATAATATAATTAATTTGAAAGAATGAGGGGGATGATGGGGGTGAGATTGCTAACTCATCTCCAAAACTGGGAAGTCAATAGATAAGTTTAAACTAAAAAAAAAAAGAAAAGAAAAACCAGAAACAGCAATGTGAGCATTTATTTTAAAACATGGAAGCAAAAGGCCTAAAGAAGCAACTAAAAGGCTGGAAACAATTTGACCATAGGCCATGGGGCACTGGGGCTGTGAGGATGGGGCAGAGATCATTGTTTTTATTTTGTCTTATAGAATTTCTTGACTTTTAAAAAATAGATTAAAGCAAAATTTAAACTACTAGTGCCAGTAAAGCCATCTCCTTTTGGTCATCCTCCGACTTCCTCCCCTCACACACCCTGGAAGGCTACAAAGGTTTGAGGATTTGGAAATGGTTTTTCTTCACAAAATCCTGAGTGCTCGAATGCTGCCTTCTGAAAATGCACAGGGGCAGGTGTTCAGATTGTAGCTGTTGGTTTCTCCCAGCTGCCACTCTAGGAAGAAGCACTGAAATCTTTGTCTTTTTGTAAAATACACTGTAAGTAGCCAGATGACACCTTAGTTCTTCCATGTAATACATGGTTGCATTCACTTGACACATGAGAGTCATTTGCAAATGTTTCCGAGAGAATTCACACTGTCTACTGTTTTTCCTTTCCAGGGTGCAGAACTGGAGTTTCCTAAAGGACTATGACCCAATGGTAAGGCGAAATATGTTTCTGTCAAAGGGATTTGCAGTGTGAATATCCATTTTTTCCTTCACTGACATTTACTGGGGATCCACTCTGCTCTGTGCACTGGAATGTATGGAGATGAATGAAATCCAGTCTTGTTTCAAGAACTGCAGTCTGGTGGGAAAGAAAATAGAGCATTTAGAAATTTGTTTCCCCCTGGGTTTCTTGATTTTATTACAGTGAACCAACTGGAAATGACGGGCATCTGCTCTTGAAATCCTTACCCTGGCTGAGGCATCCGCGGTGTGGAGTGATACATGTGTGTTTGGCAGAGGATGAATTTGAGCAAAAATACTTCAAACACTAATTCTCTGCCTCTAATATCACCATCTCCAACCCATCCTCCACTTTGCCACCAGAAGAATTTCTCTGAACTGCAAAACTGACCATATAATTCTTCTGATTAAAATCTTTAAGTACCTGGGTCCAGTGGCTCACACCTGTCATCCCAGCACTCTGAGAGGCCGAAGCCAGTGGATTGATTGGGCTCAGGAGTTGGAGACCAGCCTGAACAAGAGTGAGACCCCATCTGTACTAAAAATAAAAAAAACTAGCTGGGCTTCGTGGTGGCACCTGTGGTCCCTACTACTCAGGAGCCTGAGGCAGAAGGATCACTTAAACCTAACAGTTTGAGGTTGCTGTTAGCTAGGATGCCAGAGCACTCTACCCGGGGTAACAGAGTGAGACTCTGTCTCAAAAATCATAATGATAAATAAAATCCTTCAGTAAGTATGAGATGTTCAGAGTGGCTTACAAAGCTTCTGTAATCTAACTCTGCCTACCTCACCAGCTTTATTGTTTACCCTGCACTGACTCTCTCTCTTTCTCCTTCTCTTTTTAGAGATAGGGTCTTGCTTTATTTCCCAGGCTGGAGTGCAGTGGCATGGTCATCGCTTATTATACCTTCAAACTCCTGAGCTTGAGCTATTCTGTTTTTTCAGCCTTCCAAAGTGCTGGGATTACAGGTGTGAGCCACCATGCCTGGCTAATCCTTTAAAATTTTCCTGGAGATAGGGTCTCACTGTGTTGCCCAGGTTGGTCTTAAACTCCTGGTCTCAAGTGATTCTCCTGCCTCAGTCTCCCAAAGTGCTGGGATTACAGGAATGCAGCCCCATGCATCCTGCAAGCATTTTGTTCCTTTGCCTGAAATGTCCTTCCCCCTGGTCAGCCTGACGGACTCCTATTCACTCTTCAAGGCCCTGCTCACATGCCTGTCTTCTGAGAACTCTCACCTTCCTGAGCAGGCTTGACCAGATCTCTCATTTCTTTGACTCCCCAGCACATCTAATTCATTCCTTGGGTACAGCGTGTGATGTACTATGATATTGCAATGCCCAACTTCACCAGGCTGTGACCTCCTTAAGAGAAAGGATGAAGATGGATTCATTGCTAGCTCTACCCACCTCGAGAGACCAGAAGATAGCAAATCCTCAGGGCTCGCTGGATGAATGAGTCGATGGGAGAATGAATCTAGCTGTAAAAAGATTGGTCAAGGCCTGGCATAGTGGCTCACATGTATAATCCCAGCACTCTTGGAGGCTGAGGCAGTTGGATTGCTTGAATTCAGGAGTTCAAGATCAGCTTGAGCAAGAGCAAGACCCCATCTCTACTAGAAATAGAAAAACTAGCCTGGTGTTGTGGCAGGCACTTGTAGTCCTAGATATTCAGGAAGGAGAGGCAGGAGGATTAACTGAGCCCAAGAGTTTGAGGTTGCTATGAGCTAGGATGCCACAGCACTCTACCCAGGGCACTGAGTGAGACTCTATCTCGTTAAAAAAAAACAAACCTGGAAAATGAGCAGTGCAGAAAGTTACCCAAGGCGATGGCGGTGCTGACATGAACATGAGGTGGAGGAGAGTTTAATGCCCACGTTATGTCCTTGCTGGTCTTGTTTCTCTCTACTTGGGAGGGAAAATTTAGCTTATGAGAACTGAAACCCTATACTGAGCTTCTGTCCTGGGCTTCTAGCCAAGGGACATATAATAGTGACATGACCACTGAACTCTGTATCACCCCCACACGGTGGGGCCAACTTGGTGTGGACTTTCCCAGGTGAAAGTGATCTGACGGGTCGTGCCACTCCTATTAGACACAAAGTAAACCCTGAACTGGGCAGGAACAGTGAGGATTTCCCCCCACTCATCAGATTATTTTTAATTCATATATCCACTCGTTTGCTCCATCACCCATCAGTTCCAGAGGTCACCAGAGGTCGGGTACCAGGTGCTCAGAGCAGCACTACTCATGAGAGCCAAAGGCTCGAATCAACCCACATGTGCCCGTGGTAGCACAGGTCAGTAACTGCGATAGTCACACAACTCACACCGTGGGACACCGCACAGCAGTGAGAACGAAGGGGCTGCAACTGCACAGAAAATGTACACGGGTCTCACAAACGTAATGTCGAGAGAAGGGCAGCAGACAGAAGAGACGCAATTCCACTAATAAAAAGTTCTCAACCAAAAAACTGATGCCTGGTGTCAGAGGTCAAGTCAGGTGGCCGCAGGGGAAGGCCTAACGTCTGAGGGATTGAAAGGAGGTGGGATGGGGGCTGGTCACATTTCACCACGGACACGCAGGTGGGTCACACAGTCATGTTCACTTTGCAAATATGTGTTACGCTGTGGTTAGGCATTGTGCACTTTTCTGTTTGAATGTTATACTTTAAGTAAAAATTGACTACTCCCCCCAAACCATAGCCTCCTGCGATGTGTGAAGCAGCGTCTTAGGTCATGGGGCTGGAAAGACGAGTAAGACATGGTCCCTCTCTCAGTCCCTGCAGGTCACAGCGTAGCAGTCAAAGGCTCTGAGAGGTGCCTGGGCACTGAGGAAGAGGAGGCAGAAGCCAGGCGAAGGCTGTGGAGTTGTGGAGTTGCCTCACTCTCGGGGGCAGGGGGTGGCGGCATAGCCAAGCCAGGAGGGAAGCTCCAGAGCTGCGTCAGGCAGAGAACCATCGACTCTTCCCTGTTCTTTCCATCCTGAAGTCGCACATAACACACAGCTCCCTCCTTTCTCCATGCAGTGTCTGACCTGAACTGTCCCTTCTCCTCAGGGCAATAAGAAGGAGCCTGAGCCCCTGCCAGACTATGTGCCTCTCTTTTCGGACACAGTCCCCAATTCCACGAATCAGGTGGTGGGCAGCAGGGTGGACACGCCCCTGGGGAAGATGCTCATCGGCATGGACTTCTCCTTCGTGGAAGGAGCTCGGAAGAAGAAGCTGGAAGATGAGCTGCAGCCCATCTAGGAGTGAGGGGGCTCGGCCAGCCTTCCCTGGGTGAGTGTGGGCCGGAGTGGAGGCTCTGGGCAGGTCTGGCCCATGATGGTGCCAGTCACCCTCCTGCACAGGTAGCCAGGAAAAAGAAGAATTACTTCCATTTGAAGAATGTGGGAGCAAGTGTTGCAAGAGAAGTTGAGGTCGAACAGGACTGCAAGTGGTCTCATCGGTGCGGCTGGAGAGGCCCACTGCGGGCTTCGCTACCTGCCCTGGAGGGAGGACGGGAGGGAGGGAGAGTGGGAGGGAGGGTGGTGGTGCTGACACTCCTGGAGGCACGGCCTCTTATAGATGGTGCAGCGTGGAAGCACAGACCCCGTGCCGGGCACAGTGCCCAGTTGTCTCCTTTGTAGACATGATTGTCATCATTTGAGAGGTTTGGAAGCCAAGCCAAAGACTTGGTTCAGTCTGCTCAGGGCCACACGGCTGGTGCAAAGCCAGCATCTACCTCACATCTGCCTTATTCATGCTGCCTTCCCCAAGCCAGGCCTCAGTTTCTACAGCCATGAAATCGGGGGGCGGGAGGAGACAGATTCTAAGGACACCGCTAGCTGCAGGAGTCTCCTCTCTGAGCATTCAGGCAGTACTGGCCCTTTCAGAGAGCATGGTAGTGAGCTGCAGCAGGGCGTGTAACAAACCACACCATCCTTGCTCACAGGTCTGCGCAGAGGCTGGACTTGGTGCAACTTTTCAGGTTGGGTCCAAGCTGAAAGGACTTTCCTGAGGGTCTTGCCTTCTCCTGGACCCACTACTTCCTGAGGCATGTTCTTCTCATGGCCCGTCACAGAGCCCCTGGGCCCCACCGCTCTGGGCAAGTACGCTACAGCCTCTGTGTGTGGAACCGCTCCGTGCACTCTGCAGCCAACCCATCTGGCCTTGCCCCTGTGTGTGCTGTCATCATCATAGACCCTGCCTCACACCAGCCCACTCATGGCTGCTCCCACCTACATCTGCCCTCTTTTCAAGATGGTGTCTGCATCTAACCTTCCCTGTCTCACCTAGTGGGAACCAAGAAAATCAGGACAGAGGTACCTGTACTGAAGTCCTGATGCCACCCTCTCTCCTCGTTTGGACCAGAACGAAGTGGGTACAAAGTCTATAGTGTTAGTGCTAGCAAAGCAGAGGGGCGTTATCAGTGAGGACGCTGGACACCTCAGAGCCC